ATTCCGGCACATCAAAAACCCGTTACCGGCTCCGGTACCGGACGACGTGGCCTTAGATTACGTTTTCCGGTGCGCGTTTGAAGTGACAGCTGCCGGTAGACAGGCTGCGTCATTTGGCGGCTCCTGGCCCGCACAAAATAGGGCCGGCGATTAGAGAGGTCGGGGGGCTTGACAAGATAAACACCAGTACGACGACTAATATTATTTAGTCTGGTGAATCCTCCAACTGTTGTAATTGTGATGTGTTCCAAAAGATGATTCGAAAATGTTTCATTTGGCTGGTTTGTTTCAAGCGTGTCTTGTCTGTAGGCACTTTATCTGGTAATTAATTACAGGAGCTTAGTAATCATGACATGGTTGCTTGGGCATCCTGGGAGTACTTTTTTTTAATTTGCGTCTTAAAACCCCGCCCCCCCCCCCCCCCCCCACCCCCCCCCGCCCCCCCCCCCCCCCCCCCCCCCCCCCCCCCACAAGTATACTGCCTCAACTCTTTTGGTGGAGGTTTACAAAAGACGGGCCATATTTATGAACAGAAGAAAACTCGGGGAAAAAAGGGTACGAAAAAAAGCATAAAATATTTGTCAAGATTTACAAAACCAATTACAATGAACAAGTGGGACGTTGCGGTGATTAGCCTTCATCAACAAACAACAATAAAGACAAAAACACAACACACATACTCACACACAAATTAACTCTGAAACTACATTAAAATATTATGTACACGACTAGGACAAAATGGCACTGAACGACAGACTTATACTAAAGCATGTGGACTGTAAAAAAAATGGAGAGGAAAAGGGACAGAGCTAACCCGAATACGCCCAGGATGGTAAATGTAGCCGCCCAGGATGGTAAATGTAGCCGCCCAGGATGGTAAATGTAGACGCCCAGGATGGTAAATGTAGCCGCCCAGGATGGTAAATGTAGCCATTGGTTTCACGCCTCACCAGCAGCAGCAGCTTCTTTTGCGTTCGACTGTAAAAAGGCGGTTGACACCTTGTGTTATGGTGTACCAGCTAGGCTACGATATCGGCGCCTTTCGATTCAACACATCCTATTTCAGTGAAACCTTAATTAGTCGCCATTTTCGTAAACTTTTTATTTATCGCCCCCACCCCCTTTTTTTCTACCCTAATAGTAACCATGGAACCCTCAGAGCACAAGAACTTCATATTATAAGACTCAAATGGACTGGCGTTTTCAGGAAACGTATAACAACATCAACAAAATTACACTCAGAAACCACACAATGGAAGAAGAAATTAAGAAGAAGAAAAAAAAAACCCAGCGCTGTTTTCAGAAAATTATCCCCCTTGCTCCAGGGCACCCAAGGAGCCTTCGAACTCACAGAGCACCAGAACTTCATATTATAATGCTTATATGGACTGGTGTTTTCAGGGAACGTATAACAACAATTCCCCCCCCCCCCCCAAACAACCACCACCCAAAAAAATGTACACTCAGAAACCACACAATGGAAGCAAGGGGGAAAAAAGACCTAGCGCTGTTTTCATAAAATTATTTCCCTTGTTAACCACTCCTCTACTGCCCCCCCCCCCTTTTACACTCACACACACACACACACACACACACACACACACACACACACTCCGCCACGAATCGGGGAAAGGTTAGGGAAAGTAAACGTCGACAGAGAATAAATAAACAATGACTCCTTCAGCAGGGATTTAAAAGAAAACGCTTTCTGGATGAATGAAACCTCTGCAGTTAGGTTATTTTGTCCCCCCTCGCCTGCACTTTTCCCCCTCACCGTTTATGTGGCAGAGCCGATGCTGCCATGTATTATTTTACTACAGGTAGCTGTTACTACCTGCTCCCGTGCTCCACCTGAGGCATTCAGTGGAAGTTAGAAAAGGATCGAACTCCCGCTCGTAGACAGGCATACCGCCTTACTACCAAGAACCACCTGAGACAATTTATATGTTCTCTTACAAAGCATTAATTTGTACAACGTTTACAACTGATCACCAGAAAGTAGATTTAATTCCGCCGGTATTGTTTTTACAGGCAAAATTTTCTGGCCCAAAAGATGTGAAGTGAGCAAACGCATTGAGTAATGATAAGTTTTTATAAGGAGTAGAAAATTAAAGGGAAGAGAAAAAGTTGGTAAGAAACAACAATTAGTTTATGTTAGCTTTACAAAATCGATCACAATAATAATGATAATAGACGCGCTTATAACAATTATGAGAAATCTCATGAGGATATTATTTAAGCCACAAGTCGGGATGATTATTTTATGTGCGGCTGACAAGATCCGGAATACCAGACAATGTGATTCGGACCCCCACAGACAGTAGAACAAACATTCACGGCAGACATAACGTCTCCAACTAAGGAGTTAATTATACATAAACTTGATGTTTGCAGTTATCTACTGACCATACATAACCAGTAAATTTTCGTAGCAGCTTTTCCAGAGACAGAATGAACATGGAAACTCCAATTACTTTGAAAATTGGGTAAACCTAATCTGGAATTTATGTTGTAAAATATGGATCAACAATTTTCAAGGATGCCCGTATTGTTAGCAACCGTGCCCAGCAACAGGAAGGCTATATAACGGTCGACAACAACTTTCCTGGGACAGTCGACTCCAATCTTAGCGAGTGCTCGGACCCTGTAGGTGACCAGCCAATGGTTGCTGAGATGTTTCTAACTATATGTGAAGTCCTGCATAGAAAAGGGACGATTTATATTCATATATAATATTTCTTGTATACTATATGATGTCATCGCATACAAACCACAAAACATAGATGTTTATATATATGTTTAAGCCGAAGTAGTATGTAAGGTAGAGTTACTGGAGCACGGGGCAGGCTGCAGCAGATGAAAATAAAGCGAAGTTACCGATTTTTTGATTATTTAAATTGTGCGTATTAATAGTGAAATTCTACTATCCAAGAAAGCAGAGTCAGTAAGTAATACTGATGACATTTTATGATGAGTGATGAATTAACAATTAAAACCAAAACGATCACTTCAGATGTTGAGAGACGTGTCGTTGAGAGAGAGAGAGAGAGAGAGAGAGAGAGAGAGAGAGAGAGAGAGAGAGAGAGAGAGAGAGAGAGAGAGAGAGCGAGAGAGAGAGAGAGAGAGAGAGAGAGAGAGAGAGAGAGAGAGAGAGAGAGAGAGAGAGAGAGAGAGTCAGTTCCTGAGAGTCAAGCAAGATAGGAGGACAAAGAGAATCTTATGGAATTCTCCATCTTCTTAGCATTTCTTCAGCTGTCAATTCCAGTGAAAGGTTCTAGTTATATTGTCTAGTTCCAGAAAGGGAGCCGCCGTGGTCTAGTGGCTAGACGTTTGCCTGTGGGTTGGGAGGTCGTGAATTCGGTTCCTTTTTGTTTTCAAAAATGACATTGGCTCCCAGGTTGACCCAACCTTCAGTGGGTACCAGGCAGAGTCCTGGGAAGTAAAGGTGGCCGGTGTGATGCTGACCACATAACCCACCAAGTGCCATTTGGTCTATAAAATACAGGTCTAGCCTTAGAGACCCAATACGCCTCAAAGTAAAGAGATCATTTACTTTACTTGTTCCAGAAACTGAGTTCTGCGTGCAGATCTATTTTACTGGTCAGGCTTATTTGTGTGCAGACTATTGGTGCCTTGCCTCTCACGCAGACGCGCTCGGATATTAAAGAAAACACCTCTAATTAGTCGACTTTCACTACATGCTTCTTATAGATAAGGGAACAGTGATGCTATTTGTCTGCCCCCAAAATTGGGCACCGAAACCCCCACAGGGAAAGTTGAAGTCTATGTCCGGGGCCAATCTTGGGGGCACCGAAACCCCCACAGGGAAAGTTGAAGTCTATGTCCGGGGCCAATCTTGGGGGCACCGAAACCCCCACAGGGAAAGTTGAAGTCTATGTCCGGGGCCAATCTTCTAATTGCTGTCCACATCCTTCTCGCCTGCCCTGCCCTGCCCTTAACCAATGTGGTATCCACACAAATGTAACTGTGTCCTGCTTAATGCCGCCGATATATATATATATATTTCACTCTTAATAAGCTTGTGCTGTTGTTGTTTGAGTTCACCAGCTGAAAGCCCAGGCAGAAAGACCTGGTTGTTAGTCCATTTCTAGACTTTGGCTTTGTACCAGGACCTGATTTGTTGCGTGTGCATCAGAATTACAGATCTTGCTTGTTTGTTTGTAAACTGTTTGCTTACCTACCTCTCTGGCAGATACACTCTGACTTTGACGGAAGCCCCACTTAGTCGACTTTTATGACATGCTTGTTGGGGAGGCAGTGGGTTTATTCTTGTTTTCCCCCACAATAGGGCCCCGGAACTCACATAGAGAGTACGCTTTTATTAGGTGCACTTTTGTAATGTAAGCATGTCTTAGCTTTTATTAGGTGCACTTTTGTAATGTAAGTATGTCTTAGCAAAATGTGTGTCGTCGATTTAACACTATTTTCTAACAAGCCATCGAGCTCAAATGTTACAAACATAAGCTTTATGAATGACAAAGCAACACTTTGCAAAAATAATTAGAAAATATAATATTTCTTTAAAATCAATAATCTGTAGTTTTACAAATATGGTATGTTTACATAGTATAATATACTGTCAATGAAATGTATCCACGAGTTCGTGGCGTTATGGGAGTTCGAATTTGGCTAGTGTAATTCGTAACTGCACAGATGTACAGGAGCACAAATAAAAAATATATATACGGTGTAATTATATGTATACTATGTAGTTAGTTATATGTGTATTCATTAATATCAAGGGCGTCCCACGCTTTTATTAGTACTGATATAAGTGTGTGTGTGTATGTGTATTCAGGGCATGCGGAATTACATCCTATACTTCAGCGAATGTCTATGCCAAAATCTGTCATGTGTGTTGTATATGAGATTGCATGTCAGTTTGTACATCCACCTACCCACTCACCTATTTATCCGTCTGTCTGTCTGGCCCCCCTATGTTCGAGACACTACTAATACCAAGAGTTGACCCCGCCTACCTGTGTGGTGACCTTCTGGGAATTCTCCTGCAGGTTCATGATCGCTTCAGAGATCTTCACGTCCAACGGATCCACCACCGACTCGATGTTAAAGGGGCCTTCTAGTCGTCCAGCCAGCATGTTCAGGGCATCTGTGGGGGACACAAAAGGCGGCAACATGCAGAGGATATACTTTTCACGTTATTTGAATAAACAAAACAAACAAAAAAAAAATAATAAACACCACATAGTGAAACATCGAGAGGATCGACTTTGCCCTTAACCTGCTTTGACAGGGGTAAGGGGAGGTCGTCACGTTCGACCAGCATTCCCGAAGGGGGAGCTTTAGGTTATAACTGTGACTAGATTATCTGCGCCATACAAAATGGCTAAGCACCGCTCGCCATCAAGTAGCCCCGAAAAAGACCCTTGCAGTGTTGATGCGATCAAATGAGACAACACCAAATACTGCCCCTCCCCCCTCCCCGACGAAGTCGTCTACCGGGGAGCCAGTGAGCGACCGGTCGCCCACGGGTCTTTGTTGCCTTGGCTGTTCATCTTCATCCCATACCGCCGGGTTTCTCCGCAGAACAGCTAGCTGTCGACAGCGTCCTGAAATGAACTCCGTATTTCCAGTTTCGATCGCAGATAAAACCTTAACTGGTGAGCTAAACGACGCGCCAGGATAACGAACTTACGACCTTCCACAGGCCTGAAATGAACTCCGTATTTCCAGTTTCGATCGCAGATAAAACCTTAACTGGTGAGCTAAACGACGCGCCAGGATAACGAACTTACGACCTTCCACAGGCCGTGGCAAACAGCATTGCCACGCTGCCACGAAGAACACACTCTCCCCCCGCCGCACCCAAAGCCAACCAAGCAAACACAATCAAATTCAAACTACAGGTAGTACTATGGAGGGCGTGTGAACGGACACTAATTTAATGTCACCCTTCCTTCCTTGTGTCAACTCCAGGCTAGGCTGCTAGCTGAAGGCCTGACCACACTGAGTTTGCAAACATCTCAATCTGGATGAGAAGCCAACATGACGAATCCAAGACATCCCCCAGTTAGACACCAAAGAAGTTATAACTGGGGCACCCGATGATACTACACGAGCCCGCTATGACTTGCATTCAAGTGTGCCGGTAATGAAGAATCAATGATTTGTTCTTTCTTCATATTTGTTGTAGGGCAAATTTTCATGTATGCAAGTCTTAAAGTCCATGCCGTGTGGCGTTTGTAGTCTCCTGTGTTTTCAATCAACTCTGACACAGATGATCTTCAATGCCTTTAGGTCAAACTGTCCAACATCTGTTCTCTCAGTCTCCCTCTGCCTGTCCTCCAACTTTCAGAACGTACTCCAGTTTTCTCCTACTCATCACATGACCAAAGAATGTAGATTGTCTCTTTCTGATGTGAACAATCAGTTCTCTTCATGGGTCAGTTTCTTTCAAGACAGATTCATTACTATTTTTATCTGTTCAGGGTATTCTCATTCGTCTACAAAACCACATCTCCGCAGCTTCCAAAAAAGTTTGCACTAATTTTGAGTCAAGTTTACAGCTGTATATTTCTTTTCCCCACTGACCGGCCAGTCCCCCACGTTCACGTGGTGTTTACGTGTATGAGTTTAGAGCTGTGTATGAGTTTACAGCTGTATATTTCTTTTCCCAACTGACCGGCCAGTCCCCTTTCACGTGGTATTTACGTGTATCTTCTTCTTCGCATTCACCAGCTGTACACTCTGGTGGAAAGTTCTGGTTGCTCGTCCACTACTGAACTGCAGTCCTGCTCCAGAACCTGAGTGTTGCGTGTGCATCAGTTTTACAGATCTCATTCTCTTGAATACAGACTGTTGGTTCCTTCGGCAGGTGAACTCCGACTTCAAAGATAGCTTCCCAATTAGTCGACTCTTACGACATGCTTTTGGGGAGGCAGTGGGTCCATTCTTGTTTTCCCCACAATGGGGACCCGGAACCCACACACTTCAATATCAAAAGGCTGTTTCGACGAAAGGTCGCGATATTTAGTAACCAGGACAGAATTCATCATCATCGTGTGCGGCATTCATAAGTGTTATTATGATTCTAAATCTCGCACCATCACTTGCGTATCTGCCTTAATTGTTACACAACAAAGTCATCTGAATGTGTTTGCATTTCTAATCCTTTTTCCCCACAACTCAGCCAGCTGCAACTAGGTTTTCAAGTATACAGAATACATGCTACTACAAGCTTAGACCCCCCTCCCCTCCCCCCTCCCCCACCACAAAAAATGCTGACTTCTTAAGCTAACGTTTGTTTGCCATGCATCTGATCCTCTTCCTTCCTTCTTTTTCTTCTTCTTCAGCAACAAACTTTTGCTAGGCCTCTGAACCTCTTCTTCAGCAAACTTTTGCTAGGCATCTGAACATCTTCTTCAGCAAACTTTTGCTAGGCATCTGAACATCTTCTTCAGCAAACTTTTGCTAGGCATCTGAACATCTTCTTCAGCAAACATTTGCTAGGCATCTGAACATCTTCTTCAGTAAACTTTTGCTAGGCATCTGAACATCTTCTTCAGTAAACTTTTGCTAGGCATCTGAACATCTTCTTCAGCAAACTTTTGCTAGGCATCTGAACATCTTCTTCAGCAAACTTTTGCTAGGCATCTGAACATCTTCTTCTTCTTTTTTCTCTAAAGACTAATTCAGCGGGCGGTGAGTGGAGGTTCTGGAAGATATTCAACATCTAAGAAGGAGACATAGGCTGACTTTTTATCAGGTGGCAACTTGTAATATTCGCATCTCGACTCTTCGTTTGCAACTGGACAAGGAAGCGGGCTGATTTCGGGTGTATAACCAGATGTGAATATCTCACTCTGAAGAGGTACAAAGAAAGACAGTCACACACACACACACACACACACAGAGAGAGAGAGAGAGAGAGAGAGAGAGAGAGAGAGAGAGAGAGAGAGAGAGAGAGAGAGAGAGAGAGTATACCACACACTTAACTATTAATTTTAAAGTCACCAACAGAAAGATTATACCAAACATTTAACTATTAATTTCAAAGTCATTAACAGAAAGATTATCCCACACATTTAACTATTTATTTTAAAGTCACCATGGTCTGGGACGATCAAACACAGCTGGTCGACATTTTCCAAACCTGAATCTCCATTCACAATCGCACGACTGTTGGAAATAACAAAGAGAATGCCTTGCTGCTGTTGTTTCAGTCAAAGTATTCAAACAGACAATCTACCAAGAGGGTAGAAAAACATCTGCTATTCTGGACAGCATCTGTTTGCACAAAGCAAACATTACACACATGCCGTCTAAAGTCGTACAGGCAGATCGCAGATGTGATGTAATCACAGGAGCTAGGAGCAAGAAATGGAGAAGAGCAGATGCTCCATGGTCCCACTGTGGGGGGGGGGGGGGGGGGGTCAAGAACAGGCCCACTGCCTCGCCAATAAGCATGTCGTAAGAGTCGACTAACCGCAACACTTAGGTTCTGGTAGAAGACTAGAGTCCAGGGGTGGACTTACAAACAGAACCTCCCGCCGGAGTATACAGCCGGGGAACGCGAAGAAAAAGACGAGAACGACAGAGAAAGCAACGAACACAAAATGATAGACACAGACACAGAGAGAGAGATGGTAAAAGAGAGAAAGTGAGCCCTCTGTGTCGGTTCCGGGGCCCTACTATGGGAAAAACAAGAATAGACCCACTGCCTACCCAAAAGCATGTCGTAAGAGTCGACTAATTGGGAGCTTCCTTCGAAGTCGGAGTGCATCTGCCTGAGAGGCAAGGAACCAACAGTCTGCATACAGATATGTCAAACAGATGCACACGCAACACTCAGGTTCTGGAACAGGACTGCAGTTCAGAAGTAGACGAACAACCAGAACTTTCCGCAGGAGTTCACAGCCGGTGAACGTGATGATGATGATGATGATTATGATGATGATGATGATGATGATGATGATAATGAAGAAGAAGAAGAAGAAGAAGAAGAAGAAGAAGAAGAAGAAGAAGAAGAAGAAGAAGAAGAAGAAAGAAGAAGAAGAAGAAGAAAGAAGAAGAAGAAGAAGAAGAAGAAAGTGAGCCATGAAACCAGACATGCATTTTCTTTAATTAAGCCTCGGCCAAACTAGGACGGTCTAAACTCTGGAGCAAGCAGTTCGGCATTTTCGTGACCTCATTTTTAAAAATGGGTCAACTAGTCAAGAGGAGGCGCGACTACTTCAAATTAACCGCCCTGCAAGTGTTGCCCTGTCTGGGGGTGTGGGCGAGCCGAAGAAAGAGGGTTTGCCCCCGGCCCGACGGGACCCGATACACGAGTAAACAGTTCCGGAAGTGAAAGTCACGAAACTGGGTCAACTATAAAGAAGCTAGGATGGAAGCATACAGTCAATGAATGGAGGAGAGGAATTAGTGAGGCTGCCGCGTTAAGCGGTTCGTGGCACTGCTCTTTCACACACATTTACTCATCCCCTAAACCCCCCGCTTTTCGCAATCAGATTGTCAGACTGAAGCCTGAAAGACTGCAACCAATGACTCAAAAAACCAAACATGAGCACATTTCAGACATAATACACTTTGTTCGGTTCTATCCCAATATCTCATACCGAACAGACAGTCGAATATTTTAGGGGGTGGTAGATAGGCTGCATGCAGTCGTGGGACCTAGGCTGCACTCTCTCGCGCGACGCAGGTGGGCGGGGGTTTGGCCCAGTTCTAAATGTTTTTGGGGTAGTTAAAAGCATTAGAAAGCCGGAAACTCGACCAGCGTCATAATGTATTGGAATACCTTACGGTCAGTTACTAAATAACACATAGCCCTATGGTCTGGCGTCAGATCTAGGTAACAATTCGTTATTAAAGAACCCTTGTTCACACTTTAGTGCGTACTGGGCGTATAGTGCTAAACCTATCGGTGGGTGATGCCGTCAACATCAGGCACCGCGCCTTTACTTCTCATGACTTTACCTCGTACCCATTTAGGCCTTGGTCGACCTGGAAGCCAAGGTCCCTTTTCGCTTCTTTATTCCTTAGCCATTTATACTCCCCCTCCCTCCCCTCAGCCGTTTTTCTTCGAGAGTAAAGGGAATCACACCGACCGCATTTGATCACACTATTTTTCTTACCCATTTCTCTACT